CCCCCCCCCCCCCCTGCCGCCCCTCTCCCCGACCTCTCGGGCCACAGGTACGGCTTGCTGTTCGCGACGCAGGCGTGGTTCACCGCCCTCCTCATGTTCCCCCTGTGCCTCCTGTCGGCCCTGGTGGCTCCGATCTTCGACTGGCGACGGATGCGCCCGCCCACGGCGGTCGCCGTTCTCTGGGGAAGGTTGGCGCTCTGGAACATGGGGGTGAGGCCAAAGGTGGAAGGGGCGGAGCTGCTGCCGCCAAGGGGAGAGGCCGTGGTGTTCGTGGCGAACCACGGGTCGTACCTCGACATCCCGGTGACGAACTGCTTGCCAAGAATGTGCAAGGTGCGTCTTGTTCCTGCAGACACCGTGGTAGTTGTGCCATGGTGATTGTACCATGGTATTGTTTGTAGCTCGGCAAGGGGGCGCGCGCGGCTCTGAGCCGAACCGAAACAGGTTTGGAGGCGGTGGTACTATTGATAGCGGTTTCTTTGTTGCGTACCACGTACACGTTTGGGTTCGCAGCACCCCGAAGAGCACTACGTTGAGAATGTTGTAGCATGCTTGATAATCAGGCAATATGTCGGCGTGTGGTTGTGCACACAGAGCAGCAACCACTTTCGCCAATTCCCCTCATTTGCTTCTGCCGTGCTGCTGCCGTTAATTTTTTTCGGGTGTAACAGAGTGTCTGTTGCTTCTTTTGTTTCATTTCTTGCCCTTGCTTCTGCTCGTCCCGCACGACGCCGGACCGGACTGGTCTTGGACTGGTCTTCGGACTGGTGCCGTTTTTCAGTACCTTATGAAGGCGGAGCTGCTGTGGCTGCCGATTGTGGGGTGGAAGGCTGTTTTGGCGAGGGACATTTTCGTACACAGAGGGACGTCTACGACCTTCCGACAATTGCTTAGGTCTACCACACGCACCCTCAAGGCGGGCAATTCCATCATGACCTTCCCTGGTACGGCGTTGATTTCTAATCCTAGCCTAGTTTGTGGCATGTTCGGCTTGCTCGTGGCTTGCTCTCGGTTATTTTATCTTGGGGTATTTGCGTAGGCGGTCTTTGTTTTATTTGTTTACATCTTTTTTGTGTTGACCTACGCCCACGACTCTAGTGTCTGCTCTAGACTTTCCCATAATATGATATCGAGGTTAGGCGTTCAGTAAGTATGGGCGAAACCTACAACGACCAGCAGGACATTGCATTTAGAGCGTCTTCCTAGGTCGCTTCGTGTCGTTGTTAAGCAATTTTGTCGCCCAACAAGGCCCCATCTGAACATAATAGCAATCAGTCGTCTCCCCTGTCTCACTTCATCGTGTTCCTAACCGGCCGGTCGCCTTTCCGTCGCGACGTAATGATACATATGCACATGTCATGGCGATTTCCGTGGCGCCATGATCGTGATCGTGTCATGATTGTCAACTTGTGTCCAAAGAGGGGACTCGCAGCCGTGACGGTCGATTAGGGAAGTTCAAGCGCGGACCGTTCACGATGGCGCAGCAGGCAGGAGTCAGAGTCGTCCCGTTGACCATCACGGGAGTTACTGAAGCGATGCCGCCGTTCGCCATGGCGCCTCTTTGCAAGGTTAGCAGCTATAGATGAATGACGAAGCACGTCAACGGCTCCTTTTCGAAACTGCCGCATCGTAGTCAGCGAGCCATACACAATTGACTGGAAAACAAAATCTGCTGTTCTTGACGCAAGCGTGGGAGTACATGTGCAGGGACTTCAGAAAAACCTTGCCGAAAGAAAATGCTCTTTGAGCCCTTTCTGAAACCAGGCTGTGGGCCTTTGGTGTGGTGTTGACACGTGCCCCGCTACCTCCTGTCAGTCATGTTTCCAACCTTAGTCAGTAATGTCAGCGGGTTTTGTCGCCTGGCAAAGTTAAGAAGTTGGCCTTCCACGCGGTGCTGTCTCTGCGCACATACATATATCGGTGCATTTTTGTTGCATGGGTTTAGTACAAAACCAGCTGATGGCGACCGGCGATGACAGGGTGCTGTAGGGGGAACTTTGCGCTTCTCAGCCTCTGCTTTACATTCTTGAAGGCCCCAGCCTTGAACCTCGGCCTGATTTCGCCCGATGTTTTTTTTTCAGAGATAAACCAACCACCCGCTCATCTGGACATGCGCAGCGTAATTTACGGAGAGGCTCTTTTGTTCCGCCTACCTTGTTCGCTTGCCCGTCTGCTTGGCTTTTCTTCGGCCGGTCGTTTCCTGTGCACGGCTGAATGTCTCGCACCGACACGTTTCTCAAACCAATCCCCTTTAGCCTCGAAGCGTCCGGCTCGTTGTACACCCGGCGATATCGACCGAGGGTAAGCCGGTGAAGGATCTCATCGCGGAAGCCCGAAAAGCCGTGAGCGACGGCTTGGAAGACTGGCAGAAGCCGAGACCAAAGGTGGACGCTAGTAGTAATGGGGATGCGTCGCCATCTACGCCGCCGCCGTCGCCGCCGTCGCCGCCTCCGTCCCCATGAGTTTGGCTCTCTCTCGCCGTCGCAGTAGTTGGAAGTGTTTCGGTCAAGTTGTAATATCGTACCATACTATCGTTAATTTGCTTTGTTACTGTATTTGCTATTTTTGCTCTGGTACCCACTCGGCCGCCTTTGCTTTCCATCCCTTGGCAAAGTGCAAGGTTTGCCTTTGATTGATGGACACTTGGCGAGGTCTCCTCGCTTTATATGTTTTGGGTGGCCTACCCAGCCCTTACATCGTCCATCTCTATCCAAGAGGTTGGGCGCAATCTTTGATCGGTGCCGTGCTACAATAAAACACCGTGTGTTTCTCTCGTCATCGCCAGCATGCTGATACCGTCGGCTGCACACGATGTCGCGCCTGCGGTACATAGTTTTGTTGTGTTTTGTTTTTTCCGTGCTGTCCCGCGAAGGGAGGGCGAGCGTTGCTTGGCGCGCGGGGCCTGTGTGCTGCGAATTTCTTGGCGTGGCGCAGCAGTAGGTATTGCAGGGGGTTCCACTGCGAGTCTTGTCGTGGAGGGTGTCTCGCGCAACCTTTTGCTTTTTTTTCGTCTGCCGATATGCTGCATGATGCTTCCCTTCCCTCGACTCTCGAGGGGTCATACCTGATACTCGTAGCTCGCCCGTGGCTGAAGACCGAGACGCTTTATGGTCGGCGCGTTTCCGGCGCTGTGCTGTTCCCAACACTCACTCAGGGGCTGAAAATATGAATCCCCCCTCTTTTGGGTGTGGAGTATGCATAGTATAGGTGTGTCGATGAGATCGATCGATGACTTGGAAAATCCACCTTTTCGCTGAATTTCAGGCAAGGGTGATGGTGGTGGTGATGTACTAGCCGATGCCAAAAGATTCACGCTAAATGTCGCGTTCGATTGTCATTGACTTGAGCGCCCATTTCTGTGTTTGGTGCTGTTGAGTTGGTCACCCATTGCTGCCGCTGTCGTGTAAGAGGCGCGAAGATAAGGATACCGTAGATATCCTTCCTATCCTAAAATAGACGCCGAGTGGACGGGAAGGATGCCAGAGATACATACTTGTGGGCGAGATGAAGTAGTTGTGTTCGTAACCTACCTTCCACCCTGTCACCAAGGGATTGATTCATCTATCAGCCGTTCCGTTGGATTGGACGGTAGTTGGAGGTGCAAAGAGTGTTTGGTCTCAATGGTTTTACGGTTTTCGGCGGCGACGACGACAACATGAATCGTTGGGGTGATCCGTCAGCATGGTGTTTGTTATTTGTGGCAAAATCAGTTTTTTTGTTGCGGCGGTTTCAAAGTGTACGATTGACGCGGGGATGTGGGTGTGGTTGTGAAGCGTTCTAGACAGAGGATTTCTCCGTAGAAGATAATACAGCCAGAGGAGACCATGTTATTGCTCTTGGAAAGGATTAAGGATTAACATCCCTAACACGGTTACGTACGGATGCTACATTTTTGGTGTTACGTCAGGGGTTTGCTCTGCTGTGCCGTATCGCTATTCGTGTCGACAGAGGACAGACTAATCTTCCCGGTTTCGGCGCGATAGAAACGCTGGCGATCTACCCGTCCACCGCGTTGCGTTGGACAAAGCTAGCGAGCGAGCTCGGTGTGCGCGCGTGTGTTTTGGGAGCCATCTTGATCTTGATGTACGCAGTAGATAGAGTCGTACGGGAGAGGAAAACGAGCGGTATGGTACAGTCAAGGTGGATGTTGATGAAAAGGACGTTGTTTGCCTGCAAGAAGGACGTGATGTTCTAATGTTCACATAATGTTCATATGGGTGCAGCGAGGCACTCTGTGAAGTGAAAGGAACCTTGTCACCGTGGTGCGATCGATTTTTTTGTGCTCGATCGAGAGACGATGCGTTGATGGACGAGTTGGTTGGCATGTCATGCTGTCTTGAAAGTTGATTTTCGCGAGGCCACACCGACGTTGCACCTGACTTGTGTGCAAGCGACACTCACTCGGAGATGGAGAATATGGGCGCCTCGTTATGGCAGGCGCAAGTCCTACTGTACGTTGTTGGCAGTCGCCCCTCAGTCCGAGGTCGATTCGATGAGCACTCTCTGTCATACTCCTATTCGCTCGATGCCCGTTGTGTGCAGCCAGCCGTAGTGGTGTGGGAACTTTGTTTTTTTTGCAGACGCTCTCTAGACGGCGTGATGGATACGATACGCGCATTCTCGTTCTTTTCGGGTCCTGCGCTTTTGTGATTTGTTCTCGTTTCGATGCGCTACTCCGTCTAACGATGAACTTCTTTCCTTCTGTATTTGTTTGTTTCGCGTCATGACCTGCTTAGGTTCCACTACATCAGTGCATGACTTGCGAAGAATTTTTGGGGTTGATTTTCGATAATATTTTTTGATCATGCATTTTTCCATCGACATACAAAATTTACGGGCAGAGGCAAGCGTCAGCCTGTGGCGCTATGGTTGTCCGTCCCTCTTAAACGTCGGGTTGAGCAGAAGCGGGGCGTACGAAAAAAAAGGCGATTGGGGGCGGCGAGGGGGGGTTGTACTCACAGTCGCGGGGGCGGCCGGGGAGGGGGAATGGTGATCAGTTGCGTTTGGTATTCGCGGGTTTGCGGAGTGCAGGTGTAAAGAGTCGGTATATCCCTTGGTTGACCCTTCCAAGTTGTGCGTTTGGAGCTAGAGTCGTTAAAAGTGGGTGCTGCGTTTCTACAATTGAAGGAGCTTTATAGAGACGATACTCTGTTGGCGAGAAATTCTCTAGATTCAGCGCTACGATTTGTTGTTGGTGAAACGGATATGTGAGCACGAAGCACGTTTTCTGACCACATTTAAATAGGTACATGGTTTTTGTTCGACATGAAAGAGCGCCATCCATCGACACCCGGTGTGTGCAAGGGAATCACTTGCACACCCTCCCGAGGTTGCGCTGTGACTACCGTTGCGATGGCGTTCTGGAGTTCCTGACAAAAGACATACGCATGCCGGGCAATGAACTTCAATACAGCAGGTACATCTATCAACAAGCAAGATACGGGCACGCGCAACACAAACGCATCCTTGAACACAATGATTCATCATTGCAATGTTGTTGGTGCTTCGTGCACACATTTAGCTGCATGTTATTGGTGCTTCGGCACTTCTTTCTCTGGATAATATTTTCTCACGCTCCTTCTCAGAAAGGTTAATCAGTGGGGCTGGTGGACACACTAACCCGCCTGCCCGATTCCCGGTAGTCATACCCCATACGTAGCACTGAAGTGTGCCCAACGCTGTACTTGGATGGGAGGTAGGTATTCCAAACCATAACAAAGTCGCCATACAAAACTATTCATACAAGACTCCGGCGCGACACGCACATCCCCTTCAAATGCCCTCACGGCACCATGAGCAACACGCCACGAACGTGAGAGACAGAGCAAAACCAACGGGTTTCAGCAGGAGGATTACGTGGCAAAGACGGCGCTAGCCTACACGCACGCACAGTTGGATACACGTTTGAGAAAAAACAACGTTTCCCCGAACACTCCAACTTTGGAATATCGAGACGAAAAAGCCGTGATAATGATGACCATCTATACATGCGTCGCCCCCGGGAGGCCATTCGCAAATCACCAGCTCCCGAAGGGTAAACTTGCATGATAGACCATACAACCCATACACCCCGCGTGCGGTAACATCTGAAGCAAACCCAAGGCATTGAGTCAGACATTCCATCTCCTGCCACATTTTTGCACATGCAGTATGTACAGAGAGGCGTGCCACTCACGTGCCACGTGCCATGCCATACGTGACATTTTTTAGCACGATGAAACCGTTGCTACGGCATAGAGCTTTGGGTAACATCGCCATGACGCCGACAACATTACAGGGCCAGCCACCACACCGCCGTGTAATGGCATCCGGGCGATGTAGCCATCAGCTGTACAACCTGCTGTCTATCCAACCCAGCCTGCCACGTGCCCCACGCGCTGCTATCGGAACCACAGCTTGAGGCGGAAGGCGTCGACGCCGTTGAGGTAGTACTTAATCAGCCGCTCGTTCTTGCTGAAGCCTAGCTTGGTGTAGAGGTTTAAGGCTCCCCCATTGGTCACCTCGGTTTCCAGAACCACCTGTGTTCGCATAGCGGGCAAAGCACAGCACAGCACAGCACAGGAGCAGAGTTTCAAAGAGTTGGGTATTCCGCGCGCTCAAAATCCGACGCCGGCCGGGGAGGGGCGGCCTGTTCAAAATCATTTGTTCATGACCTCGGTCTCCGGAACCATCCGGGGCGAAGGAGACTGACGCCATCAAGACCACAAAGAAATGGGCAGCGGCATTGTTGATAAGTACAAGTCTGCCGAAGAAAAAGAAAAATCATCTCCTAGGCTACAATGTATGTCGATTGCCGACGTTCTTCCCACGCACTAATAATTAATATGCATCCCTACGCGTGCCTGAGTCATCGTTCATGGTCGGAATCAACTGTGTTCGTAGGGCAACAACAACCATCATCTCGTTTACCAAGCGGTGGCTGCTGCTATATAACTCTCTCTCTCAACTGGTGTACTCTTGTGCAGGTGTTGTTGAATACTGAAATCAACTTCATTGAAACCATTTGGTCACGAGAGCCCCTTCGACTGCGTCACACGTTGTTCTCCCCCTTCCTCCCTCTCACCTCCTCGCAGCCTAAGTCTCGCATGGCCTCGATCGCCTTGGACGCTAGCGCGGTCCCTTCGGGGGTAGGGGACAAGGGTCAGCGTGTAATTGCATTGCGTTTTCGTCAAGCTTAGTTTCATTGAAGACTTTCGATACAACTGAAAACTTGATACAACGAGCATAACATCAGGAGAGAATAGAAACGCAACAAGTTCCAAAGTCCACCAGCATCAGTCGAGACAATGGAGCAATAACCGGTAAACATGGTCAAGCATCTCGCGTTAAGGCCGGCACCGTTATTTTTGTCCCCCAGCCAAGGCATAGTCTAGAAAAGAGAGCGAGCAAGAGAGAGAGAGAGAGAGAGAGAGAGAGAGAGAGAGCTTCTTGATGGGTGCGGCAGCTTCTGTGCAAACAACGCTCACAGAACGGTGGTTTCGACGACCAGCATGAGACCCCGATATCCAGTCCCACGGGACAACAAGGGCAGACACACGGATATCCGTGCGTGGCAGTTCGGCGGTCGTAATAGGTGTCCACAAAACAGGACCCAGGGCAGGCACGGGGCATGGAATTCAAGGCAACTCGTTTGTGCCATACATCTTGGAAGTACGTACTTTGGAGCACTGCGAAGCGCCGGGGAACACGGTATCCGAGAGCTGCAAACACGAGAGCTACATAACATAGCCCTTACCGATGCCATGCTTTCTGAAGGATGTATCAACCGCCAGCATGGCAATGTAACCCGTCAGGGGGTCGTCTTCCACCTCGCGCTCAGCCTTGCACACAATCGATCCCACGGTGCGATCTCCGGCTTTCGCCTGCCGAAAATAGCACAAAACAAAGAGGTGCAATCTTGTTAAGTCTTCTTCGTCGACAAGTTCGAAACTCTCAGAACACAAGCAATTATTCAACGAAAAACCGTGCTTCGGAGTACGAGGACATCCCGAACAACAGGGCAACACGATCTTGTTCCTTTCTTCTTACGGGAATGTCTGGTATGGATGCAGCACTAGCGCAATAGGCTCCGCAGCAGGCACACCACCCCTGCATGACATGTCATTAGGGTCGACTCGGCCTACAAGCCGCACCCGTGCTACATAGCTCGTCCTCAGCGCTCGCTTTGGGTACACGTCGACCGGGAATTTGTCTCCGCTCTAAAATCTTCTCCCTTGGTGCCGTTGTTCAGAATGAGGAGGTGTGACCCGCCGCCACGCTTACGCATACAACACACTTATCGGCCTGACCCATCGAAGGTGGTAATAGGCATGGCTCATGGATTTATGGAGGGTTGAAAAATGGTGCATACGCACGTACACCGGCTGAGTTCAGAGTTAAACTTGCTGCAACATCGGCCAAATTTAGAGTTCAACTTGCTGCAACATTGGCCGAGTTCAGAGTTCAGCGTTGCTGCAACATCGGCCGTGTTCAGGGATCAGCCAACAGTCTGAGCCTTGGATAAAGCAAGGGCGCAAACCTTACCCTCCGCGTTAGGACAGACTCGGCAATTTCAGAAATCACAGCAGTCTGACGTGGTTTGCTTGAAGTCGTTTGGGCACTATTATACTTAGTGTACATGGTCGTCATGCTCACTGCAGGATATTCCCCTTGGCTGGGCTGGGTCAACCTCTCCTTTCATCTTCTCACCACAAAGCACAGACCGGGCCAGTTGTGCAGAAAGTACCGGTACGTGAATATGGAGTATGGTTCAGAGAGATCCCTGTCGACGAGGGCCATGATGTCCGAGAGCTGCCTCTCGTCCTCGTACTTCACCAGCCGGACTGCATCGACGCCGCTTACGGCAGCAGCACTACCGCTGTCCTCACCGACCGGGCTCATGATGTCAGGGGGTGGAGCGTCGCTGCGAGGGACGTCGCGAGACCCACTTCACCGGTGGCCTTTTCGCCGATAGTCTGGCTCGATTCCTGCAGGTTGGCCGCGTACTGGCTGCGCGTTACAGCCTGGACGTGGGGGACGATGGGCACAGCGCAGGTAAAACTAGCGGGGGGTGAGCACGGCAGGCTGTCTATTCATGCGATTGCTGAGGTGCTCTCTTAATGTTGATAGGTGAAGAACCGGCCTCGTAAGGGCGACGTCAGTCGGATCGTATCTACCGACATCAACATCAACATAAATAGCTCTTCTGCAAACATCATGGTGCCGCACGCGCGGGCCCGCGGCAAAAACTACGCAGCAGATGGATGGATCCATAACATGGACTGCAATATGTAGTAGTCTAATTGTCAGCCCAGGAAGGGTCGGGGCTCTTCAGTTGAGTGAGGGTCGTAGGGTTAGGCGGAAACCACGAGCGACGGTAGCAGATGGGATAGATAACGACTGGAACAATGTAGCACCACGACTATTTAGCGCACCGCTAGTGTGTGTCATGATTTTTTAGTCGCGGTGTCTCACTGATCGCTCGACCGATCCGTGACGTACACGGTCACGGACACAATAGCAGTAGTGCAAGAGCGGTATGCGTTGCTCGCGCTGCCAAGATTGTAGGGCATTACACGATCCAAACTGCCAACAACAGCAGCAGCAGTCGTTCAAAAGTAGCCGGTTCTCTTGCAGCCACGGCCTTGGAAAAAGGGTGCTCGAGACGCTCACTTTACCAGGTCCATATTACACTGCTGCTGCATGCTGTAAACGGGGATCATGCTGGCACGAAACGATGGATTTGATTATCTGGAAATGCAAACCGATGTGTTCTTTGAATACGAGTTCACCTCCAAGCATCCAGCATTGGATCTACAGCATGACAACATGGCGTAAGGTCAGCTGCGGAGGCAAGCTACTGACCAAGTGTTGCAGCAGCCGTAATCAATCAAGCCGGCGGCATGCCAGCAAGTGACTCAAGAACCGCGGTGGTGTGTGTGGAAATACATGCGAAAATGATGCCAGAAAATCTTGTAGACTATGTTTTTGCGACGGCGTCACTCACCTCTTGTTGAAATAAGCCCGAGCAAAGGCGGCTAGTGTTGGCGTTCCCGAGACCGTCAAGAGTACCCCCTGGCGAGGTGTGTGTGTGTGTGTGTGTGTGTGTGTGTGTGCGTGTGTGTGCGTGATGGTGCGTGTGGCGAATTGCAGCAGAGAAAAGAGGCATGCGGAATGAGCATGGAGGAGCAGCGGAGAGCGGAGGCAAAAAGGGGCGGGGGGGCGCGGCTGGGAACTGGCAGTTGAAAGGGGCACGGAGTGGCAGCAGCAACCCGAGCCTAGGAGGAGAGCGAGGAGAGGGAGCGAGTGCACTGCCATGGTTCTTTCCGCTGGGCATGGAGAGGCCGACCTTCTCGCGAAATGGATGATTGTGGCCGCAGTCGGCACGCTGGGCGCGTGCAGTGCGGTCGCACCCCCGTATGGCAGGTTTGCATTGCGGGTAAAATAATGACCGAACTGATCGATGGACTGCATTTTTTTTGGCGTGTCTGCTGCACGTGTTCTGTACCGTATAAGAGGTGGAGAAGGGGCCGTTGCAATGAGCGGTGGAGTCGTGCTGCCACATAGCTTCCTAGCGTCATGAAACATGAAGCAGCTGAGCCGGCAGGTTTCGCCGCATTTTTTTTTGCCGCAGCACCACACACTGACTCTTTTCTATTTCGAAAGAGCTGCTGTCTACATTGTAGACTACTGCAGAGCACCTCAAGCGAAGCACACACCTCGCATTTGTGCTCGTGTGCTTCATTTTTATCATAGTTTCCGTCTCTTAATTCATGTTTGTCACCACGTAGAAATACGTTTTGCCGCAGCTTTGCTGAAAACCGTTTTTTTACTGCTGTGTCCCGGTGCCCCGTGTCTGCTGTTTTCTGCCCCCACGCACAGGTACTCGAGAGACGTGATATTTGGCATTAGGTAAGCTTCTGCCGCACCGTTCACGTGGTGGGCGTGAATAATGTGTGTACAGACATTTGGCGCTTGTTCTCTTGCGGTTGATTTCACACTGGCACGCCAAGAGGAGGGAAACTTATCTTCACGTGAACCCCAAAGAGAAAGGCAACTTCTCTTCACGCGAACCACGCTTGGTTGGTTGTACTAATATTAGTTCAACTGCCCAACTTCAAGCAGTGCCGCCCCGCACCCCGCTCATACTCACCCGCTCTTGTTGACGTGTCTCGTTCCAAATCAGGAAACGCGACTTGTAGTTTCCGGACGGCCTGTGAGAAACATAATTTTTTGCCATCCCGTTTATTCTGGACGTCGATCGTTGCACCAATCAATTGCACCACCAAAGAAGTACTTCGATTTCTGGACGCACCAGCCGGGGTCACACAGCTTTTTTTTCTCCGCCTTCTGCGATGCGTTGCCTTGCTTGTTTATCCCGTGAAGGATCCAGCCGATCCCCTCCCTCGTCGACCATGAAATAGTTTTTTTCTGTAAACAATGTAGGTAATAGGACGAAAACACATACGCAAGATATCACTTTTCACATACTCCATACAGCATTAGTTTTGCCTAAAATCGCACATGCACACCTCTCAAATGACAAGAAGGCGCGGAATTGAGGGTCCAGATAAGGAAGAGAGAAATGCGTCCGGAGCACACTACATATGCATATATCCGGGCGTTCCCCCCGCCCCCAATCTCTCCTACCTATGCATGGCATTTTTCAAAGGGAGTTGTTTGCGAGATTACGTCCCAGCATGCCACTACCAGCACCAACCCCCGCCCCATCCCTATTCTGTAGGCGACAAAAAATCATGAGGTGAAGCGCGATCGATCATGTTTACTTTTTGTTGCTGTGCCGAATACGAAGCGAAGCAACACCCTTGACTTGGTTGATAACTTAAACTTTGCAAATCAAATCAATCGCCTGGCGCAATCAACCCCATTCGTGACCGACCGATCAGGTTCCCCCTCCTGGACGCGAAGCTGGGATGGATCCTCATGGAGTGCCTGAACGTGCTGATGTCGCTGTGGTTCCTGCTGTACGGCTCGGATGAAGCCTGCCTCAAAAGTCCGGCAAACCTTGCTCTGTTGAGCATGTTCGTCCTGCACTACGTCAACAGGTACAGTACATTGGCCAGACATGCCGTGCAGGTTTACCGTTCCCGCCTGTGATTCTTTGACGCCGGGATGGTAACGTTGTTACTCGAATTGGACAACCCGGCGGCCGGGCCGTTTGCTGTATTTGTGGGCGAAGACTACTAACTAGTGTGCCTGAGATGGGGTGTACTCATACTCATAGTGGTGCATGCCGTAGNGTGCTTACTTCCTTGCGTACGGATGACAGCTGCGTATGACTTAATTTGTTTTCTGGTGCTTTCACTTCCAGAGACAGTTGAAAGCGCTGTGTAACTGCCTCGAGGGTGCTTGATCATTTTAACACAACGTTGCGCGATCATCCCCCTTGCGCGGAGTGAGGGTTCTCCACCCCGCACAACATGATCTACTCGACCACCA